ACACCTACAGCCACCCACACCCATACCCACACCACGTCTTCAACATCTTCCTGACCAACACCCATACCCAACTTTGGCTTGAGGGTGTAGGTAAATTAATCAATTGAAAACAGATCAAACTATATCTTTAAATATTATAAATTAATCTGCTGCTCTCAGCTTTTGCTTTTCAGCAATCGATGAAGTCGAAATAAAATTTTAAAATTTTTGATAATGTGCTTGAATTAAATTTAATAAGAAATAATGCAGATTTTATTTAGCGCCGACGCGTTTCATGTTATTTATTCGATAAATAAAACACTCTTCAGGGCTCTGCATTACAAAAAAAGCAGAAAATTTAATAAAAGGAATTTAAAATTTATATTTAAAATTAAAGTTCAAGAGTTTTTTAAAAATAAGTTGTGGTAAATTAGTTTTAGTTGTTTGGGCGATCATTGGAAGCTAGCGATAAATGTACATTTTTGTAGTTGGTTAGAATTTGTATCCGCTAGTAGGATTCAGCTACTTTTGTAGATATTGTTTTTAATTCGAATAATTTTTTAAGTAATTTCTAACGATGGCAATTTGTAGTTTCCTTTGAATAGTCATATATTTAAAACAGATGATGTATTGTTGAAAAATTTTTAAATTATTATTTTTATATAACTTAATATTCTAATATTTGTATTTAATCTTTGTATTGAATTTTAATTTTTCTTGTGTTTTCTTATGTCGCTAGGATATTATAATACATTTTTAAACTTTTGTATTTTTATTCTTGCGACATGTTTGAACAAAAGATATTTATTATAATGAAACTATTTTCGCTTTTTGAATCTGTTAAATTTTTATGTTTACATCATCAATATTTGTTTGTAGAATAAATTTTTTTAAATAAATTTTGGGTATTCAAAAAGTGAGTACACTATAGAATCGGTCAGTGTGTCCGTCCGTCCGACCATCTACACGATAACTTTTGAAACGATCGTCCGATTGTGATGGGTGTGGGTGTGGGGTCGGAGTGAGTGCGGGTGTTCGCTTATTTCACTCCACACTCACATCCACACCCACCCACACCCACCCACACCCACCTACACTCATACCCACAGGATGGGTATGGGTGTGGTTGGGTGTGGGTGTGTCGATGGGGATGGGTGTGGGTGTGGGTGTGTCGATGAGGATGTGGGTGGTTACGGGTGTGGGTATGGCTATGGGTGTGGATGGATGTGGGTGTGTCGGTGTGGATGTGGGTGGTTGTGGGTGTGGGTTTGGGTGTGGATGAAGCAAACAACGAGATCGATATCCACACCCACATCCCACACTCGCACTCACACTCACACCCCACACCCATATGTTACATCTAGGAATCCTGTTTATTCAACATGTCAATTTTGCATAGATCAGTAATCAGGCTTTTTAGGTTAAAAAGATTACTGTTCACTAAACGCGCGATTTTATTTCATCATTTTGTAATTTATTAAAAAAAGAGAGAGTACGTTTTTTCCTAACTAACCGAATATTGCAGAAGAACCAGAGCGAATAATTTTACTTTTTAAGAAACAAAGAAACAAAAAATATAGTTATGTAACTATTAAATTGATGTTCACAGATAAAATTTTGTTTGATCCTCTATTTCATGATAAAAACCAATTAATCAGAAAATCTGATGAGATGGGCATTAAAAATGAAATGAATGAATCAACTGGTGCAATCTATAACGAATTTTTGAATCGTATCTAAGATTCCATAGATCGAAATTGCATTAGGTGATGTTCTTAGTGCTCAACGAGGATTTTTACCGCATCAATTTTTAGCTTAGAATTCAGTAACTGATTAAGAAAAGACAGATATGTGTATTTTTCTATTCGAATTTAAAGTGAAAATGTTCAAAGAATATATAAGTACGGTTATTTTTTAGCAAGATAAAATCTTTCCAAACCTTGTCTTTATGTTGCTTTTGGCTAAAACTGTACTATGAATGATTATTGATAATGTTATAGCATCCAACAAATTATTTGAATCAAACATCCAATGTCGATATATCATTAATGTCTAACATTTGTTAAGCTATTTCAAATTGACAATGGACATTCTACAAAGTTTTCTTTTTTGACTTGACTGAAATTACCAATCGACTTGCTTGAAGTAATGGTGAAAAGTCGATAATGAAGTCCTCTACTATATTTTCTAAAAGATCTCTATTACGTTAATAATTCTCATAAGTATTGTATAAATCTGCCTTTGAAGCATGGCAGGATTTTTGATCGTCAGAAAAAGTTTCTTTTGATGACCAACTTTTTCAGTATTCATTTCACATTATTATTTACCAATAAAGTGTCGGTGCTGCTCCAGGTCGACGACAATCTCATCTTAACGCTCTTTGGTGCCTTCATCTTCACTCTGTGGTGTTTTCCACTGTCAATCAGACCACTTAGTTGAATATATAAATATATATGACGATATTAACCTAGAAAACAATATATTTGGTACTTCTCCTGACATGGACCTTGCGATACCAACATCATTTGATGTGCTCTGCCAATAAGAACAATTAGTGTATAGGGTTCTGTCGATTCGGAGAAGAACCATATTTTTAAATGGATATATAGTTTTTCTATAGATACAATACTCCATTCACTTATTGCTTTAAATATACACTAATTAGTTTCGTCTTAGACTAATCTCTTTGATCATAGATTAATCTGTTTAATCCCTGAAAACAAAGTGCTGAATGAGGATGAGAAGTTGTATGAATCGTATAGAACTATCCAAGAAGAGATGATAAAAAGTCATTACGCGAAAAAAAATTGGTGATCAAAAGCACTTTTACTCGCCTTTGAACGTCAGAGAAACAATATGGATTTCCTAATTATAGAAATTATTTCCTTGAAAACTTAAGATTAAAAACTACAGATATATCTATATATAGTTCGATATATTTCACATTCTTTCCTTGAGTTATACTGATAATTTTAAAAAGAATTATATTTTTCAAATAAAAATAGTTGAAATAATTGAAATATTTTCTTCGTCCACTAATGCCAATTTTTGTTAACAAAGTCATTAACAGAGTCAAGAAGAACTTTAAATAATATGATTAATTGAAGTCTTTTTTATGGTCACAAAAAGGTAAAGTATCGAATTAATTTTAAAACCGATCATTATAATTTACATTTACAAAAGAATCTCTCTTCTGCGACCAAAAATTTTCATTTTTTTGTTTTCTTTTTCTGGTTAATATATAGACTTAAATGTCTTCCATTTATAAAGTATATTTTGAGAACTGAAAGCCAACTTTGTTTGTATAAAAAACTTTGAAAAAAACACTACAAATTACAAAAAATTCAGTCGTCGCCGATCAATACATCGACTTACACTTCTATTCGAGAGATCTGCACTCATGTCACTAAACCAAAATCATCTAAGTCAAACTGTATAGAATCTATCGGTATGTTTTTATTTTTTGACTACACGTTTGCAATAGATCTCAATATTGTGATTCTAAGTATACCATATAGCGATGGTTTCATCATTCATTCAGGTATTTATAAGATAGTAGATAATATTACTCATACTCTTGAGAGCAATCTTAGACAGCAAATATTTTATAATGTGTATTCGATTGTACAGATTTCATGCATTGCAACCAATTTATTTTTTTCTGGCTAATGCAAGTTCGAATAAATGATGTTGATTGAAGAATTCTATGATGCAAAAGTCCCGTGAGACTTTAGTTATAGAGCTAATTTTTTCAAAGTTAGTCAACACAGGTTTATATTTGAAGAAAAATGAATTCTACTTTGGATAATCACGTACAATCATTACGTTTATTATTTTTTAAAGTTATTTGATTGTTCTAAAATATTTTACAATCATTGAACATGAAGCAAATTTTCTAATAGATAAAAATATTTTGAAAGAATATTAAAAAAAATATCAAAAAGAAGTAATTTGTCGATAATATTTGATTGTATTTCTAAAATTTGATGAAGACTTTGAAATATGGGCATACTAAACGATGAGTTCAGTAACAGATGTTACACAAAATACGACAGATTCACGATGAACAGCGTTGTTATTAAAGATCAGCAATGCGACCTTGAGAATCTGTTTGACGATAGTAAATTAATGAAACATAGATAAATAAGATTCTGATTAGATAATACAGTTGAGAGGATAGTGAAACTTATGTGTAAATAATAATTATCAGGCAATTCAGTCTCTTTTGAAATTCTTGTCGGCATTAATTCGAAATCATCGAGAAAATGCAAATATTGTTCTTGACGAATTTTCTCACTTACCACATATTTATTCTAAACATCGATGTAAATAAATAAAATGATTATAAGAAAATTAAAAATAGATTATCGAACATTTGTAGATCTCATGCTCTCAAATCACAAAATGGTTTCACTTCACCTGATTCAACGTCTTGTCTATGAGAAATATCGATACATATAAGATGATTTTACGAAAAAGTTATTTCACTGTCGAATAAGTTATCATCATAATTGTGTTTCAGTTGAATGATTTTCTCACATGTATTGTCTCCTGTCACACATACTTTGATCGATGTGCATTCATCATTCATTCATGTAGAAATAATTCGTTCAATTAACCATCTGAATTGTATAACTGACAGTCATTTTTTTGTTTTATACGCATGAAAATACAATTGCATAATAATTTTTGTAACAATCAACCTTCAACATGCACAGCATCTCATTAAATAGTCATTTATCTTTCTTCGCAAACTGACAAGTTCAGCATGAACAATGTGTGCATCATTTAAGAAAAATTTTTCGGAAGGTTGTTTCTTATTTATACACGAGTATTTAAATCACATTCGACTTGCATCAATGCGCTTTTAGCTATTTGTATGAAGGTCGATTTGTAATAAAGATAACACAAGAGAGCAGTTTGATGAATATATAAATACGCATTGATGCGCTCTCTTATATACACATTCTCTTATACTCTCCATTTTCACTTCTATTCTCGTTAAGATACAAGTAGTAACAATGTTTGGTGGATATCCTCTCTACGGTAAGAACAATATAAGAATTTATTTAAAATTCTCTATAAATGATAAATTTTAGGAAATCAAGGCAGTTTCGGAGGTTTTGGTGGTTCAGGTCTTGGTGGAGGCTTCGGCAATTTAGCTTACAGTGGTTTCAGTAGTCCAAACTACTTTACTTTTGGTACTCCTCGCTATGATGGTGCTGCTAGTTCAGGTTATAGTGGTTTTGATGCTCTTGGAGGTTATGGACGTGCCTTCAGCTCACCATATGGGTATGGTTCTTATTGAGTTCACGTAGGAGACTATTGAACTCTATTGTAATGAATTTTAAAGAAATGTACTAGTTACAAAATTTGTTATTATAGTATTTTTTTTAAGAATCCTCTACAATTTTAACCATTTACACAATAAATTTCTTTTGTTAAAACTTAAAATTATTCCGATTTATTTATAAATTGGCGTAAAAGACTTGAATACTATGTAAAAATATATAACAATACATGTTAGCGTTGAAAAGAATAACGCACAATGTTCTTTTAGATTGACTAGGCAATGGAATAATATATTATTAGAATCGACAAAAAAAGAAGAATTTACTATTTAAATTGCTTCTCTCTTAATATACATTAATTTTAAGTTTAATTTGTGTTGTTCAATCGAAAATCTCGAAAAATATTTCTATCAATGAATAGTTTTCAAAAATCAATCAATAAATGCATTTCTTGATTTACTACTAGTATGTTATTGTAATTAAAATGAAAGAGACGAGATGATGTTCTTTTTCGTTTCCAATGCAGCTTGCATTTTATTGTGATCAATAATGACAAACTGCAGGACTCAATTTGGATCATTCTGACCGTCTGAAATGGCACCTTAAGCTGCCTAAAACGGTGGAGAAGTGGTGTGATTATTCTTCTAAACAATGAGAAACAATAGTTGTTTTTTATCATCTTTGAAACGTTTTCCGTCAGTTCGGATTACGGGCCGTTTCTTACAAGAACGTAAACAGCAGCATTTAGAGTTGTTTCAGTCAAAAAGCAATGCACAGCATTAGAACCGTATTTTCATCGTATACTTTCTTAGTTACATCGTTTTCACTCGCATATAGTTTATTTTCATTATTCGAATTGCACCCTAGATAGTTTACTGTTTATACTTTTGATTATAATAGGAAGCATTTCATCACATAAATACCATTCCAGCATATGGATTTATCATCACAAGCTATATCCATAGTAAATGGATGAAAAAGGGTTGCACAAAGATGCAATAGTCATGTCTTCTATGCCTAAACGTACTAGTAAACATCTTTTTAGATAAAATAGTTCATTAATAGAAAAAAAAGCTCATCATTTCCAGGATGTATTTTTTTAACAAGTAACTCACTACACTCATTTTTCGCCGTTTCTAAACGTTTACTGAACTGTTATTTCGATATTTTGTGAGCATCATCATTAGAACGTGGATAAATTTTATACTAGGCATTTAGAACACAAAAGAATGGGCTCTATCAGTGATAGAACTTATCCATGGAAAAAATGATGAACAAGGAATAAGCGAAGATGTGTACATGTACTCTATAACATAGATGGAACTGATACCGACAGCTGACCGATCTACCGATAAATGCTGGCCTACCAGTAATAGATCGATTATTACAATGAAATCTTGTTTCATAGCGAACCCTGGCAAGTTTCTAACTTATATCAAGCATCTGAAGTATCTGAACAATTATTTGGTAATATGCAACCCTTTCATTCCCTGGTTACAGCTCTGATTACCGGTAGACTAGTCAAACCGATGTACTGACCAGTCTGCTGTGATCGGACTTTTTCAGATCAAGACCATTACCGATCGTCAGAAAATTAGACCGATTCTACATGTGCTCTATATCTCAATATTAATATCATGTCAATCATCGTGTAGTAAGACAGAGACATATTTGTAGAGCGCACATCATATCGTTGAATAGATTTCAATAAAACCTATCCATCGATACTTAAACTAGCTCAAAAATGTTAATTGGAGCATGATATTAGCAAAAAAAGAAAAAACAAAATTCAAGAAGAAAAGAGAGTAAAGCATCGTTTCATCTCAGCAAAACACTTTCATAAGACATTAGAAACTGATCCAACTAGAAATAATAGATAAGATCATTAAGCGCTATCTACTG